TTCTCTTTGAGTTACATGCAATATCTATTTTACTTGTTGCTGCTGCTGTATAAAATCCTCAAGGGATCTTATTTGTTTTAGTTCTTTGTTCGTGATTCTGTTATACCAATCCGCAAGTTTCACTGAAAGGTGTGATCTTTACTAAGCCATTCTAGCCTCATTCGCTCAAAGCCATTTTTACCTATTATTCTTAAAAAAGCTTTTGTATACGGCTGACAGTGTAGATATTTCTGAACGGATTTGGTGCCATGCACATTAACCATCTGAAAGTCTGGATGAATCCGTTAAATCGTATAGAAAAATATACTTACTCTATAAACTGGCTCTACATAATCGCAAAGATTTTTACCTAATAACAAGAACCACGCCACTTGAAGACTTCCAACAGCAGCAACAATAAAAATGGGTAGTATATGGAACTCGAAGATAAAATAATGATATATGGTGAATTTCCAGATGACTAAAAGCAAAAGGCTGATGCTCTTGCTATGTATCTTGAGATTCTCAACAAAAGCCAAAAAAGGAAACTTTTGTTTCAACATGATTCGGTAGTAAGCCTCATGATACATTGAAAGAAAGAGAAAGAGAGAGAGGGTGTTAATTTTAGACGTACCTAGAAAGTAATTAATTGTAACCTACTACAATGTTAGTTGGTATGCAAGATTCTTCTATCGATAACTTGCATGGCTTCTAACTTGTTCAGAAATATCTAAAGCAGTAGTTCTTAACCATATTTTATCCATGGACCATTTTTACTTTTAATTTTTTTAGTGGATCCTAAACCATTCGATAAAAAAAAGCTTATTTTATTTTTAATAATAGATAAGTTTAGGAATTGTATTATTGAAATAGAAAATGTATATACTTCCTTTATATATAATCCTTATAAAATTTATATATTCAATTAATTTTATTATTAATATTTATTTTTTTAATATTTTATATTGATTAATCTATATTAATATTTGACTAATATTTAAAATTATATTATTTATTATTAATATATTAAATTAATTTATATAATAAATTATGATATTTATGTAATTTTCCTTTATATATATATATATAATCAAATATGTGGTGCAGTTCAATTTATATTACAATGAATCATTTATACAAAAAGTAGATTAGTAAAGTTAATGATATAAAATGGCGAAAACTCTTCGCAAACCAAAATTTTAAAGTTGCATTAACATACGAATCACTCTGTGAATGTTATGATCCTTGTTTTTAATAACTAGGAACTGTATAAGGTCTTTTTTAAATCTGCAAGTACTTTCAACTGTACATACAGTCATCCTCAGGCATGGAAATTATTAAACAGGGATCATAACATTCATCGAGTGGTTCGTAGGTTAATGCAAATTTAAAATTTTGTTTGCGAAGAGTTTTCGCCATTTTATATCGTTAACTTTACCTATCTAATTTTGTACGAATAAATTATAATAATATATATATATATATATATATATATATATATATATATATATATATATATATATATATATATATATATATATATATATATAACCTTTTTTATATATCCTTCTTTGTTTTTCAACGTTTACAATCAAAACATCGAATTGAGTAAAAGGGACGCTAACTTACATTGTTTGATCAAGTTTTCTGCTAGTTTTAGAATTGTTTTTTTTTTTTTTCGAAATTTAGTATTTTAATATGGCGTAGATTACTGTAGAAATTTCAAATCTCATTTGTAACAACCGCTCCGAAGTAAAATTGCTCTAAGGGCCACTATAATATTACGGTAAACCCCCAATCTTCTATGTTTTTCGTGTGGACCCCCAGTAATGTTACATGAGCCCCTTGGGTCCATATAGACCCCGGTTGAGAACCATTTATCTATATATATTACCTATAGACAACCGTTTTCTTAGATTAATGATTAAAAATTGCTTCGTGTGAATAATTTCTTAATTAAAACTATCATTCACTAGACCCTATGGACTGGCGATATAAAATTACAAAGAGCAATACCAAATAACAAAAACCACATCACTTGAAGACTTCCAACAGCAGCAACAGCTAAAATGGATAGCACATATAAATGATGCAATGAAGCTGAAAATTTTAAATAATTAAGCATCAATGTAAGCATATGGATCAGTTATAAGAAATTCTGTAGAGGAGATAAGGAAGTTAAACACAGGATAAGTTGTGCTAGGGGGGGTGCCTTTGTAATAGCTTCAAACAAATTAATCCTTTAAGTCTTAATGATGACAATCCTTCAACAGATACTATAAACTGGCATGAAAAACAAAGAGTTTTACCAAATAATAAGAACAACCTCACTTAAAGACTTCCAACAGCGTAAACAACAAAAATGAATAGTACATAGAACTAGAAGGGAAAATAAGAATAAAATCAAGATGGTAAATTTCCAGATGACCCAATTTTCTTAAACTTCTTCTTTTCTTCTTCTTCATAATGTTTTTCTTATTCTTAATCTTCTTCTTCTTCTTCTTCTTCTTCTTCTTCTTCTTCTACCTCCATACTCTTGCTATATATCTTGAGATTCTCAGTAAAAGCTACAAGAAGATTCATAAGGTTATCAGTCCTTACTTAGCATCATGACTTCAGTCACTTTCTCACCAATGTGACAAGGCTTCTCTCTGTCTTTTCTATGAATATTTTCATGGCCTCTTTTCCTTGGTACGTCAACTGCATGAATTTAATCAAACTAAAAATACTAAAAGTCGAGAATTTGGGCCACGCTCTGATATAGCCTCGTCAGATCTAGTCTCCCATATAGCCTCGTCAGATCTAGTCTCTCATATAGATGCCATGCATGTCATCCATCTCGTTCAGAAATGCTGACTAAAAATGGCCTCAAGAGAATGACTCCTTTACGTCTTAAAGAACATTATCCTTCATCAGGTCCTATAGACTGACAATACAGAAATACAAAGAGCTTTATCAAATAACAAAATCCACCTCACTTGAAGATTTCCAACAGCAGCAACAACTAAAATGGATAACACATGTAACTCGAAGATAAAATTATGATCAAGATGGTGAATTTCCACATTACCAAAAACGAATGATTGGCCAATAAAAACCCATCAGTATTAGAAAGAACTGTAGCATTTAGTGGACTTGAATAATCTAATTAGCTATGTATTATCGATTATACAAAAACGTTTAATAAAATACGTCACAGGGCACAGCCGAGGGCTCACTGGGATAGCAAAAGATGTCTTCTAAAAGCTAAGAAAAGTATTAAGAAACAAGAAAATATACATTTGAAACAAAGAAAATGGTACTAAACTATTATATAGTACCAGTCCTCCTCAATGGCAGTGAATGCTGTACAATTTCTGTTATATACAGTACTTATGAACACTAATGGGTATGCACCAATCCTTGTAAATACGTTGGACACTATTGTAATTGGGGCTAATATGCTGCCCAAGTAGTACACCACTAGCAGTGGTTTACCTACTTCACGCCGCTGGCGAGTATTGTATTTTGTTGATGCTATAAATATTACCATTTCACCGAGAGAAAAAAAAGAATTTCCTGAAAACAAATTGTAAAAAAAGATGTTTGAAATTTCAAGCGAAACACTAAAAGTTTGGTAAATAAAAGCCGCATTTTTTTTTTCCATAGGAATGGTTAATTCCACCGTTAACAATTTTAAAATTACGCTTACAGACAACGTGATGTGAACACAATCCATCTTTGATGAGGTTCGAATTTAGTTCATTTATACCTTTTCTTCGTGCCGTGGTGTTCAACGTAGAAATTAAAATATAATTTGAATGATGAACTCAACATGATATCGTCTGCTTTGATGTCTGCTTCAAGGCTTGAATGTTCAGTCGAGAAACCATACTCGTGTCAACATTATTTTAAATGATGTCATTAGTAAACCATTTGTAAAGTGGAGTTTACAATAAATACGTTTAGTTATTTTGCACTGTTATCATGTTTGATTTGTTAATTGCTGATTTGTCTAAGAAAACTGAAATATCCTCTTCTTGGCTGACCCAAATTCTAGACACGACGAACGCTCTATAATTAAAAAGGTGTTCCATCGCCTTTGATGTCGAAGGAAGCACTTTAATATCTTTGTTATCTAACCTCATGATTAGGTTACTAGTGTTAGATAAAATCTTGAAATAAACATACGCAGATAGGTATAGATATTTAAAAGATAATTTTATAAAAATAATTCCATACTAAAATTCGCGCCATACAAGACTCGAGAACCATTCAAAATAGAGGACTACTGTTAAAATGGCAATGATGAATTAAATAAAAGGTGGTAGGAAGAGAATATTATGCAGTATTCTATGGAAATCAGTCATTCTCAACCGGGGTCTATATAGACCCAAGGGGTCCATGTAAGATTACTGGGGGTCGACACAAAAAATATAGAAGATTGGGGGTTCACTGGAATATTTTAGTTGTCCATGGAACAATTTCACTTCGGAGTGGTTGTCACAACTGAGATTTGGAATTTCTACAATAATCTACGCCATATTAAAATATTAAAAAAAAAAAAAACTCTCTAAAACTAGCCGAAAACGTGATCAAGCAATGCAAGTTAGCGCCCCTTTTACTCTACTAGATGTTTCGATTGTAAAATTTGAAAAACAAAGAAGAATACATAAAAGAAGGATTATATATATAT